TGAGTATCAGGAGAAGCAAAAAAGATGCCAGAGTGAAACAGATGGGAAGTATCAGCCTGGTAAAGGAGAAATGCTGACTAGGATGTCATTCACTGATTTTTGAAAACAAAGAAGAAGGGTTCTTAACTATAGTTAGGCCGAAGGTGGTTTAGCTGAGAAGGATTTTTTTTAACTTTCTAATGTCCTTTGTGTTGGCGCTGTGGCCAAAGAATGTGTCCATGTAGCATAACATTGCTAAAAGAAATTGGAAAATAGGTTGCACGCTTCACTTGATGAATGTTTCCATAACTCTTCACATAACTGAAACTTAGGCTGCAGTTCTAACGATAATGAATAGCCCATTGATTTCAACAGGACACACTTTTTTGAATACATGAGGGGAAGACACACACTGTTATTTTTCAGTGCATCTGAATTTCTCATGGTGGTAATATGTTTCAGCAGACCATAACTGACTTGTTTCTTCAGAGAGAGATTTGGATCAGATATGTGACACAGAAGGTGTGTCATTTATGGAATACTGAGTTAAAGCAGGTCAAATAGTTTGAGAAAGTTAGTTTTGGGACTAACGTCCTTGAATCCTCCACCAGTGAGTGTGTATTTGATTTTTTCCAAAACTAATGCAGATGTTTCCTTCTCTCCTAAGGGTGGGTGAGAGATGTTGTTTTCCAAAATTAAAGCAGCTATTTATATTTACTTCTGCCCCAAACAGGTAGAAATCTGCCCCATGCACTGAAATCCTCTGGGAAGAACTTATTGCAACCAGTGAAGACCAGATTGGTTGCGACCTCCCAGAGGACTTTTTCTGCAGTCGCTCTCACCTTATGGAATTGCCTGCCAGATGAGATCCATCAGATTTCCAACCTAGATAGCTTCAAGAAAGCTGTCAAGATGGATCTCTTCTGGAAGACCTTTCCAGAATAGCACCCAGCCACCTAAAGACCCTCATATTTGTGAATTTATGAGTTGTGATGATTCTACCCACTGTCACTGTAATATTGTAGTATTATTGTTTTGTTTTTAACAATTGTAATTTTAATCTTAGTACTGTTTAATTCTCTTTTTTAAGGGGAGGAGGAAATTGTATATATTTTGTATTATTTTAAATTGTACACCACTTTGATTGTTTTTACAAAAAGTGGGATATAAATAAAAATCTTTATTTTTTTGTGAAGTCGTAAGCTTTCATGGCGGGCATCCATAGTTTTTTGTGGGAATTTTGGGCTGTGTGGCCATGTTCTAGAAGAGTTTCTTTCTGATGTTTCACCAGCATCTGTGGCTGGCATCTTCAGATGCCAGGCACAGCAAAAATCTCTGAAGATGCCAGACACAGATACTGGCAAAACATCAGAAAGAAACTCTTCTAGAATATGATCATACAGCCGAAAAACCCACAAAAAAATATTTATTTTTTATTTTTATTTTTATAACTGCAATCACGAATTCAATCCCCAGTTTTCAAAAAAAGAAGTATACGTGTAGCTACTTTCATTTTTTTTTTTGCTTTGTTGACAGTCCACACAGACCCCAGAGAAATCCTAGACCTGTCATAGTCACCCATCCTTGTTTCATAACCAAGCTGAACACTGACATTGAAACAGATTTTTTGGTTCACCTTTGTTGTATCATGGATCAAAGCTGAAATCTCCATACCTACTAGAATTGTTTTTCCCCCATTAAGTTTCAAAAGTTGTTTCAGAAACCCATTTGCAGGAGGAAGAGAGTGAAGTAATATGAAAAGCAGTCTTCTCAGGGCTCCCAGATGGTGCTATTCAGCTTCTAAATTACTAATGCAAACAAAAGTACCAGAATTGTCACCTATTCATTGGAGAAGTTAGGCTATACTGTCACCTCCTGCTAACACCATTTAGTGATGCATATTTTACAGAAAAACTTATTGGCCAGTACATATAGTCCTCTGGAAAACCCGTCTGCAAGACCATTACCCTGCCTGAAGCCATTAGTGCTTTGCTTAGATCCAAAGGCATTTGCAATATGTACAAACAATCAAGTGATGGTCGAAGACGCAATTCCAACCCCTCAAATTCAAAAATCCATTTCAAATAGAAGGGCACTGTAATCAGTACAAAAATGATTAAATTTCACACATCCACCAGACTATGTTGACAATTTAGTCCTTTGAAATCGGTCACAATAACCATCCAGAAAATAGAGAGGCATCAGCTCAGCAGGATACAAGGTTTAGATCTTCAGTTAATCTTTACAAATAAAATGACCAAGAATGGAATTATTCAGGTTTTGAGCCACTGATATTTTACAACATGCTTCACAAGGAGATAGAAGGCTTCTTCCCTTCCTTTTTTCTCTTGTCATTTCAGCTTATTCCACAATATTCTAGTTTATTCAGACAATTCCTTTTTTTCTTTTGTGTGTAAAACCCCAGATAAGTGAAGCACATGAACTAAGAAGGTCATTTGGTGAAATCTGACCCATACCTAAATGTATTTTCAATGTGATCTATTTCAATGTGTTATATTTCAATGTGATCTATTTATTCCATCATTCTTTAAATTATCATCTGGTTAATGACTATCCCTTAATGCTTCAAACTTGCTTTAGAGTACATGACCAGGAGGATAATTGAAATATTTAGTAGGTGTAAGCATTCAAAGAACCAAGCCTGAGCATGCCATAAAAGAGTGAATAACTTAAGTCCTAAGAAGCTATAAACTTACAGAAGGAATCAGGCAGCCTGCCTATAGGAAGAGGTGCTACAAAAAAGGGGGAAAAAGAAAAAAGAAAAAAGAAGGAGCAAAGCAATCTGGTGATAAAAATGGGCAGCCAAATTAGTGTAAGAGGTGTCTATTGGATAAATGCAAAAGTCAGTCTAGTGTCTAATTTTGTTTCCAACAGTTCCCAGACAGTTGCCTCCACTCATGCCTCTAGAGACAACAAAGCACAGTGGTGAGGGTTACCTCTTGTTAAATGCCACCATCTGACAATCTGATACACACTACAGTTGACAGCAACAGCTGTTGAGTCTGTTTAAAGCTCTCTTCAGTGGTGACCATCACTACATCAACTGACAATGCCACACCTTGATTGTATAGGATCCTGAATGGTCAGGAGAGCCAGCCAAAGATATGTTGCTGCCTGCAGCAAAGGACAAGGTGGAGTTTCCTCTCCACTTGATGCACACTGATATTCACTGGACTAGAAGTTAAGCCTTGTTTGAACACTGGTGACATGGCAGTCTCTTCCACAGCACCTAAGGCAGTGGGTTAATTTGGGAGGCTGACAACTTACCATATGTGGTAACATAGGACATTATCACACGTGGGCCAGAAAGCAAAAATAAAGTGGA